ATTTTTTTTGGGGTGTTAAATATGTATTTGTTCCATAAGAAACATTTTTAAAATCATAAATCACTACTAGCCAGTATTTTTAAAAACTCAATGTTTTTACCAGTGTACTTAAGAAAAATATATAAAAATTAACCTTACTAAAATATTTTGCTGAATTCGCTTACAGTCTTAAGAGTCGATTTAAGAAGAATGAAATACAGGAAACAGATCCATATAAAGAATAGGTTGCTTTGATAGAGATCTGACAATGTGTGCACTATAGAAAGGCTTTTCCAACTCTGTGATTCATCCAAGTTTTCTAACTCTCCTCTTGGTATGTTGGGGCAGATCCTGTGAAGTGAATAAACTATACCCAGGTGTAAATTTAGAATGTGTGGGCACTATCAAAACAAAATGGGGCCTTCTGGAAGAATCTATGACCCTCAGGAGGTACAGGGTGGGAGATTGCTCTCATCAAAAGCTACTCTGGATCTGTTCCTTTTCTTTCACTCTCTTGGGGTTCTTTGACAGCATTTCTGCCATCCACCTCCCTTCCATGCCCACACTGGCTGACACTCCCAGGTGTTGGATTGATTGGCAGACGATTGGATTAGATAACCAGCGTCAGTCATATTAAAATCGAAAACTATACTGGGGCTCCTGGGTGACTCAGTCAGTTAAGCATCTGACTCTTGGTTTTGGCTCAGGTGATGATCTCAGGGTTATGAGATTGAGCCCCCCTTGCAGGGAGACTGCTTGAGGATTCTCTCTCCCTCTTCCTCTGCCCCTCTCCCTACTCACACTCTCTTTCTAAAATAAATAAATCTTTAAAAATAAAATAAAAAGCTATAGACTTGAATGTCAGTATCATTTCTGGATTTTAGTTGGACTGTATCAGGATTAATAAACAATCTCTTCAAAGAGTCAGTTATCCTTTCTCCAAATTGGTTTCTGGAATTCTTTCCAATCTTTGACTTTTCTGTTCTCCCATTTGGAAACTTGATTGTTTTTCACATCTTTCTTTTCCATGGATTTTTATGTCTTCTTTTCTGTTTTCACCCCTTCTTCCTGCCCATATAGCTTGCACTTCTTTTTCCTATTTTCTAGGTACTACATACTTTGATACTTGATACTACTTGACTCACTGTTGTCTCAGTATTTGCTCTTGAGAAGCTTACAGATCTCTGTACACTTATCCTTAATGCGCCTTCAACCTCCCCAGAATGTAGATTTAATTTTCCATATAAATTCTTACAAAGTTAACACTTTCAAATGCTTAGAAGTGCTTAACTTCTATTTTTTCCATTACACTTTTAGATAGGCAAAGCTGGCTTTCCATGAAGTATCACCCCTCTCCCCAACTTATTATCACTTTTGGGATCTAGGTGGAACATACAATTGATTAATTCATTCATCTAAATCATTGAGGTATCATTAAAAAATTAACGTCCATATTCTAATCTAGTGGTTTTCAACTGAGCTCAGTTCTAACCATTGTTACTACTATCATTTGAAAATATAATTTAGTTATTCTGCGACTTGGACTTCAAAATGAGAATTTTTCGAAGGGTCTTAGCAGATCTAAAATCTGATTTCAGAATGAGAATTTTCCTTTTTGTTTTGGAATCCTCAGAACTTTGTATATGTTTGATTAATTTAACTAATGTCATTGTTTGGGCTTAGTTTATTAAGACCCCCTAATTACTTATTTCATTACATAATTACATAGTTCTAAAGCCCTAAATTTAGGATTTGCTTTTATTTATTTTGCCATTTTAGGTGCTTCTATCCTACTATATCTATCATTGGCATTCTCGTTTCATTTAAAAATGTTCATCTTATTTTTTTTTAAATGTTCATCTTATTTTGATAATCTTTTAAAAAATTGGTTCCAGTTTAATTCTTATTTTCCATCTTCAAAAGCATCTTAATTAATTATCTGTAGAATGTGCTAATTCATTAGATTTAAAGTATAATCTTACAAAGAACTTGATAAAGTTCTGAGACTAATCTGAACATTTTTTTTTTACTTTAATAGGTAAGAAAATATCCTTTGTGCCATTGGTTCATCATTTTATAAAATACTTATGAACGATTTTACTTTTTATGGTTGGCTATAGGAATGTATAATGAAGTATGATTATAGTTTTTTTTCATGTGTAGTCTTTTGCCTGTGAGTCTGGGTCCTTATATTTCTTAAGCATGTAAGTATACAAGGGCACACATGCCATTTTTATGCTCACATCAAATGTAAAATTCATTCAAACTAACAAAAGCTAGCTGATTGGAAGAGGTGTGGACACTGAACAAAGGAGACAAGTACCACATAGAGCTTGTACGGAGTGTGTGGTGTGGTATCATTTGTGGGCTGAAAGGTAGCTGAGCATTTCCATTTTGGTGTCAGTCCCTGGGGAAGGACAGGGTTTCATAATGGGGTGTGATCTGCACTCTTAGTAAGCGTGATTGACACTGAATGATTAAATAGAAGAGGAGAATAAATACCACTCCTCCCCTTTTAAGACTAAGCACATATCCACTGAATGCAAATCTTTTCAGTGTGGAAGACAGTCTGGCCTAATGATAGCACATATCTGAAAAGCTAGGAGAGTGAATTAAAGGAGTAGATCAAAATGCAAGGAAACAAAATATTATACAGTATCCTTAAAAATAACGTTTAAAACCAAATGTAATGGTAAGTACACGTACAGAATATGATGGAAGATCCCATTTGTAAAAGTGGAATCCTGACATGAGGCCCTTGGTAAATGAGTGGGCAAAATGGATCCCTGAATTGGATAACACAGCGCATACCACAGTGACGGATGAAATTGATGTGTCCGCAGGAGAGCTTGTTCTATTACTGTAGGCTTTAACCTATTTTCTCCTCTTTGACAATGAGCTCCTGAGTGGATGTTATCCTCAAGGAAGTGAATTTAATTCAAAAGGAGATATTTTATAGATGTGCAAATTTAATTTAAGAATTCACTTAATCCATTGTAGAAGAGAACTATGGGAAAACATTATCATAAGTAATACGGTTATTTTTTTCAAAGATGCCATTTTTGAGTGTGTTATTTGGGGGACCCGAATTTCAATCATTCGTTGGTAATTTGTATTCTTTAATTTTGCATTATCTCTTAGAACACATGGCTGAAACAGTATTGAATCTGGATTGTAATATTATTTCATTAATTTATTATATTAAAGTATGTAATTGCACGATAATCAGAAAAAGTGGTTTCTTCGTTCTTCCCTTAAATTTTTGAAAATACGATACATTCCTTTTCCCTGGGATAAATACTTGTTAATTATTGCAAAGAATAAAAGCCCATTTTGTGAATCCATTTAATTCTAAAATCTATGAGGTAATATTGGTAACTGTAGAAATAGGCCATAGTTACCCTAGTTTCTGCCAGGAAAAACAAAACTAAACAAAACACAACAACAAAACACTCTTCATACCTTGACCCAGAAAATAGAATACTAATTATCCTACATACACTGCTCAGTAAGTTAGTAGTAGCTTAGTCGTTTGTCTTTGAAATATATGGTAGTATAAGTTGTTAAGCTTGCTGTTCTCTCTCCCTCTTTCACACACACACACACAAATGTAATTAATTATAATTATTTTTTGTCATTATAGTCTTAAGTTGATGCTCACTGTTACCACTTATTTGCTATCTTTTTAAAAAATGTTATGACCTATTATCTGAGTTTCATATTAAGAATTATGGAGTCATAAATGTATTTTTAAAAATAGAAAGCTCTTAAAACATTTCATTTGGAGACAAAACAAGCAAATTCTATACTCAACAAGTAGATTAAAAACCTGTGTAAGTATATACAATATTATTTTCTCCACTTGTTTTGAATGTAAAATTTTCAAAGAAAATCTGACTGAAATTGAGCAAATATATCTCCTAAATAATTTACTTGTTCAGCTTTTAGAAACTAAGTCAGATTTTCAGACATCTCATACAAAGCCAGCCCTCAGTGTGTATTCAAATATTAAAGGTAGATTTATGTTTATTTCAATTTAGAAGAATTTACCCGAAAGGAAAACTAATTTCTTACAGAGGGAAAAGAAAGTAAATTCTTCCCACCATTGAACTTGATGCTGCCTTTATTAACCCAATCGAAGTATTTAGAAACTTTCTTTTATAGTTTATTCTGATTCAGATACTTACTGTATTGCTCTAAAATTACTTGGTAATTTGCCAGATATCACTCACCGTAGACATTTGACTTCTTATATATCAAATTTCACTTCATTACTTAATTTGTAGAAAGGAAAAAAATTTTTCCAGTTCAGCTGGTTTCCACAGTCAACATAATTAACACGCAAAGAGATGTTAAAGAAATGAAATTTTATTTGGTCTATAATTTTCTCAATTGCGGAGTGCATTGCCAGTGCCTACTATGTGTCAACAGCTTTATTTTTTAACTTTTTTTTAAAGCTAGCTGGTTGTTTTTTGTTGGACACCGGCTGCCCTCTAGTGGACTACACTGTTCTCTTAAAAGAACCTGTCAAGTCTGAAAAAAATCATTTCTATATGGAAGTGATTAGTGTTTCGTGTTTTAGTACTCTTGTTTTTCATTTACTGTTGTGTTTAGCACAACTAGCATTATCACTTTGTTAGAGTATTTTGGTGAAGATGGGCTTAGAAGCAACTTTGATTAAAAATAGCATTACAGGGGCCCCTGGGTGGCTCAGTCGGTTCAGCGTCTGCCTTCCGCTCAGCTCATGATCCCTGGGTCCTGGAATCGAGTCCCGCATCGCGCTCTCTCCTCTGTGGGGAGCCTGCTTCTCCCTCTGCCTGCCGCTCCCCCTGCTTGTGCTCGCTCTCTCTCTCTTGACAAATAAATGAATAAAATCTTTAAAAAAATAGCATTACATACTTAAGAAGACACATTAAAATAGGCTGATCTCATTGGCAGTTTGTATATATATTTTTTATTTAGAACGCATTTTATGACACATGCTCCCCGCTCCTGAGACGTTTCCATTATTCTTGTTGCAGATGCTACAATTGTGGTGGACTTGATCATCATGCTAAGGAATGTAGTCTACCTCCTCAGCCAAAGAAGTGCCATTACTGTCAGAGCATCGCGCACATGGTGGCAAACTGCCCACACAAGACTGTGGCGCAGCCGCCCGCCAGTTCTCAGGGAAGACAGGAAGCGGAAGCCCCGCCATGCACTTCGGCTTTTCCTCGAGAGCTGGGCGGAGGGCATGGCTGCACGTCACCGCCGTTTCCTCAGGAGGCGAGGTTCGAGATCTCAGAATGGCCAGGCAGGTCATCTCAAGAAGCTTCCTCGGCGAAGTCCTCCGCGGCGCCGGAAGAACCAAGCAAAAAGGGGCCTTCTGTTCAAAAAAGGAAAAAGACATAACGCTTCTTCCTAATGTATCGTTTTCTTTCCCCGGTTGGGAAGTCTACCTCATGCAAGTACAGGGGAGCAGTATTTCACAGCAGCAGCTGACTGGGGATTTTTAACTACTGTTGAGGAACTGTGAATTTTTTTTAAACAGACAAATCACTCTAAGCAAATTACATTTGAGCAGGGTGTCATGTTTTATGTTATTCAGAGAATGAAATACTATGTGTATCTGTATGTGCACGTGTGAGAGGGAGAGAGCCTGAGTCTGTGTGTGTGTCGGCGGAGTCGATATAGGAATGTAGACACATCTCTAACGCGGATTTGTCTTTCTGTGTGTGTGTCTATAGATGCAAGCACACACCCTCCCTCACGGAATTGGACGTCCCCAAGAATTGAAAACCCATAGAACGCAATTTAGATGGTTTCAAAGATAACCCCTGGAGTCTTTTTTTTTCTTGAAATACCACTCCCTTTATATTACATAAAAATAAAAACGTGACTGTTACCTTTTGTGTGAACCAAAGGCTACTTCAGATCTCAGAGCTGCCAATTATATGGTACTAAAGGTTTTAAGTCATCAGTTCTCCCAAGTTTGGGATTGCCTCTTTTTCTTGATATCTGTAGAGTGTTTCCCCCTTATCCCAACCCCCTTTGAAGGCAGTACCTTAACTCCACATGCCTCTGACTGCTATAAGCTTTTTTGAATCTGGGATACATAACTCCAGAAGAGACAATGAATGTGTAATTTCTGTGCCGATATTTCCATGTTTTTAATTCATAAGTTTTGATTGTAAATTAGATGCCTATTCAGAAAAGTGAAGGGGGAGGGCAATGTATAAATGTAGTGACTTGATTGTTTTCAGTGGTATTTTGATACCAGCTCATTATAATCTTTTACATGTTGTGAAGCTTTGAAGGGATTGTGGCGACCGCAGCTTCCCTTGACGAAGTCAGTCCAAACCATCCCTTCGAGCAGGGGCCCTCCGTGTTTGCTACTGAAGACTTTGGAGGAAAGCTCCAGTCATTTGGTGTATTTTTTTGGTGGCTGTTTTCTTTTCCCCGCTAGAGAGTTATCTGACTTGTTTCTAAAACAGAACAGCACAGGTAAGAATAAAATACTGGGGTTGAGAATGAAAATTAAGTGCATGTTCATAATCGCCCAATACGTTTGCCCTGTGAAGGATATTGAAAAGTGCAGCGTTTGGTGGCAGTGGTGGCAGGCAGCTGGAGTGATGGGCCTGGGGCGGAGGTGCCCAGCCTCTCCCACCAGAGAGCGACAGGAATTTCATACATTAAGATTAATTTGACGGAGGTTCCCTTCATTACTCATGCTGAAGTAACCGACATGGTGGATTCAGGACGGACATTCAGTAATGGGGATAGAGATGCTTTTCAGGTTGGTCCTCAGTTATGTGAGTAAACCTGGGACCCGTCCTCATATTGGTCCCTTTAGGTTTCAGTCATTTAAAAAAAAAGTTGGTGTCTTTCTGGTTTCTAGATGTTATGGGTAAATTTCTGAAACATCTCCAAGAAGGTACCAATTAGTTATAATGCTTAACATTGGCAATAAGCAATGTTTCGTATGAGCCTGTTGGTGTAAGCTCAGATAATCAAAAGAAGAGAAGAGCATGAGTCAAATGAGACCTATTCTGCTGGGCAGCTTCTGCTCCCTCCCCAACTTGTCCTGCCTTGGGGGGTATTAGACAGTTCCTGCTGTTTGAGCAAAGCCCACATCAGGAGGAAATGCTTCAGGCTGGGCCGCCAGTCCTTTACCGCTCAGCTTGAATTCCGGGACAGTGTTTGTGAGACTCTCCATGGTGTATTCTGAAATATCCGCGTGCTGTGATGCAAAGCTTACCTTTGACGATATTGAATGTGATATATAGCTGTAGAGAAGTACTTCCTTGCCTTATGTGAGGATTGTAAGCTTATTTAAATTATGTAGACAAATCAAAGTGGCATTGCTTAATTTTTAGCAGGCAAAATAAGCAGGTTAACAGTAAAAATGCAAAACGTAATAAGTCACTTTGAAAATTCAAACCAAAGTTCCTTGACCTTATAGACATAGGAAATTATGGACTTGAGAATTGGACATTCACTGTTTACATATAAAAAGTTCAGAGCTAAGATCATGGTAAAAAAAGAAAAGCATTTTATAACTGGACCTTATGGGTGCAATTTAAAATCATTTTAAGCATCTTACCAGACTGAACTAAGAGCACATACCAAACCTATCTTATGATTAAAAGCTGGGTTTATTTTTTATATAAAAATATTATCACTATTACATAACATACTCAGGACAAAGAACTTTGCTCAGGGAACATACCATATAATGTTGTTGTTGTTTCTTTACAGAATAGTCTACAGTCCTGCTTACTCAAAACAAACCAAATAACTTAGACCTTTATATGAGTATTATGTACTGATGTTAGTCATAACTACCTCTGAGTTTGATCAAAGTTTCCAAATATCAGATATCAGTTTTCCTATTTTTATTTCCCGTGAAAAGTACGCTAAAGCAAAATTCCCAAACTCCTTGCATATGTGAATATCACTGATGTGAGCACATGTCCATTTACATGGGTGAAATATTCTGTTTACAGCAAAAGGCTACCTCATAGTTGATGCATAGCACACCTTTATGCTGCTCCAGCCTTACAGTGGCTGATAATTCTCTGGTACAGAACCTTTTAATCTATATTATAGATAGCAATTCACAACTATATGTTTCTAACAAACACTTGTGAATAATGATGCATCTCACTTAGTTAGCAAAGTCTCCAAGCATTTCTTTAAAGTTATCATGTATTTAATTTAAAGACTTATGGGCACCCTTCCACTTACGCAAAGCAAAACACAGAGGCGATCTTGGAAATAGCTGCTTTGCCCAGAGGTCAAGGGCAGGAAGGGGTAGCAGGAGAAGAGGTTGGTGTATGAGTGTATTTATGCTGGGCAAAAGTATAAAGGATGCCAATCTCCATTTTTGTGTCTGTGCTGCCCGGAGGCCAAGCATAGTTCAGCATTATTGCCGTAGGCACATAACTAACTAGCGCTGGCTTGCCAAGGAGTGAACATAGAGTAAACGTGCAATGCCATTTCTAGCTACTGAGGAGAAGGGTCTGTGTGAAGCATCAGTTTACAGGCATTACTAATGGGTTGGGCAGGAGGTCTGTAAATTAGTTGCCCCTTGATCTCACCCCCATGTCAACACAAATGTAATTCCTAAGAAAGATGCGCTACCAGTCTCTTAGCCCTGGGAGCTATTTATTACTACATGGCAGATTATAGTAGAAACCTTTTTATACCTATATGAATAATTGCATTTCCAGTCTTTACTAGAAGACTTTGGATGTATTTTTTACAACTGAAACATTTTAAAAGATTTTTACCTGCTTATAACTTGGAAGTTTGGCATACAATGTAGGGAAAAAGATCAAGAAACACCATGTTATTAACATCGATCCATCTATAAACATAGGATGTTTTAATGCCAATTTTTAAAATATTCTGGCCCAGTTTTATTTTGCACCAGAGTGGCCCCAAATTACTGCTAGTTGTATTTAGTTTGTGAATAGAAGCCCATAAGTGTTAATAGACTTTGTAACATTCACTGTAAGATGAATTATACAGGACATGGGAAATCTCATTAAGTCTTAAAGTTAATTTAAATTAATTTATCTGTTTTCTCTAAGAAATGTTTATCATAAAATATATATGTGTGTTTCCCCTTTGGTTATAAAATTTGGGAAAGTGTGTACAAGTGCAGCTGCACTAACTTTAATTTTCTAGATGTCTTAATGAGATTTGTTTTAGAAAAGAACAACTCGTGAAGAGCATCAAGTTCTGTCTTACATGGCTGTCAGCAGCCTCTTTAAGATGTGGTGGTTGTGTGATCTGTGTCATAGTTGTTCAGTTAGAGTGAGAGGTGGACCTGTGAATCGTTCTTAAATTTTATGTGTGGAACAAAGCTGCGAAGTTATGGTAAAGTACTGTACCGTGAGAAACTATTACAATATTTAATACATCTGTGGCTTAACACTTGTGTTACCAGCTTGAAAATGTTGGTGTTGACTACCTCTTGAATTACTTAGTATCTGTCAACCACTGGCACCCACCACCAAGCTGGCTTTAATTAGTACGTGTTGCTTTTTGGTATTAACAACTCTAACCATACTAGAGACCAAAGTGAACACTGATTTCTGTATGTCTTTAATATGGTGTTTTATCTAGTGTTTTTAAATTATCCTGTGTAGTAATTAGATTACCTCATTGTCCATTTTGGCTCATGTTGTTTACAAGTGAAAATAAAAAACACTTGAACTATATGTTTTTAAAGGACAAAAAAGGAGTAGATGTTCCGAATGGCATTTCACTCATGTACAGTCATCTGGGTGGACTAGAGTACTGTTTGCCTTTCTGCAGACCATGGATTTTATATTCCCATTTCATGCCTAGTGTCTTATCCTGTCAATTATGGATATTTTGAGGTTTAAAAAACTACTTGATTAAAAAATAAAACATATAACATTGGCATTTATGATGACTTTTCGAGATTTTTCATGATTTGTATGATCATTCAATTAAAAGAATGGCTAAAAGGCCATTTAGGCAGTATCTACACCTATCTGAACATAAGTAGTTTTAACTTACCTTCAGATATCGGTGATTATAAATATGGAACTTAAGACAATACAGATGGTGAATAAAGTCAGTCTAAGTATTAATGAGGAAAGGTGAGTCCTCTCCTCATAAGGAATCATCCTGCATTAGCTAACATGGAGTGTGCAAGCGTGTGAGTCAAGACACATACTTCATGTGGTCCATGAAAAGTGGCCTGAAAACAAAAATGTTCAAACCCTTTTGGAAAAACCATTTTAGAATTTTCCTACAGTATTTTCCTAATCATTTTAGAGTATCTGAAAAGGACAATCAAAGCCAGGTTATACAAGTACCAAATATCTAAAATGTGAATGTAGATTTATCAAACTATGTATACAGTATTAGCATACTATGAAAACAATTTGATAAAACTGTTGTGTTCTATAAATTGACCAGTCTGACAATTAAACTCATTTTCATTTCCGCTCTACACCTGGATGATTCACTTTTCCTTTCTTTTTCTTTTTCTTTGGGTGTATGTGTGTGTGTGTGTGGTGTCTACTATGATTCCTGATGCTTTTTCTTTTTTATTATGGTAAGAAACACACAATTTACCATCTTAACCATTTTTAAATGTCCAATTCAGTAGTATTAAGTATTCCCCCTTGCGCAGCAGTGATTGTAGGATGTGAAGATCTCATGAATGCTCATGAGAGTGATTGCATAAATGTTTTACTGATAATTATTACTTAAAAGAGTATCTTTGTTACATAAGTAGCATTGTACTTTACTGT